AGTATGTACCACTACAATTTTAGATCCATAGCAGATATTGAGATTCTGGGAAGTGTTTCTTTTTGCTTTAATTCAGCCAAGTAGCATAGATTGGTATATATATGGCTCTGATGAAATTTTCCATTGAGACCAAGTTAGGATGTACATTTGAATATGATATTATGATTTATATATATGCTTGATTACTTGAGAGGCAAGGACTTGACAGGATTAGAATGTTAGTCAAGTATTCTTTCAATAAATCCTCCCCCTCCCTTTTTTGCCAAAGTAACCTGGTGTTGATTAAGATGATGATGAGGGTTGTCTAATTACATTATTTAAGACTAGGTTTTATGTATAATGTACATTCAGCCAGTCTTAGGAAAGGTACATTTATTTTTGGTTACATATAGAAGATACTCAATAAGTATTTGCTAACTGAGCAAAAAATCACACATACTACTTTTAAAATAAAACATTTTATTGAAACCCTGTATTTTCCCCTAAATGTAAGCCCTAAAAAAATCATTGCTTTTGTGAATGTCTCATCATTTATTCTATATATGTGTGTGTATATATATATATATGTGTGTCTGTGTATATGTGTGTGTGTGTGTGTGTATTAGAGATGGGGTCTAACTATGTTGCCCAGGCTGGTTTCAAACTCCTAGTCTCAAAAACTTCACTTATTATCATTACTACTTTTATTATTGAGACAGACTCTTGCTCTGTTGTCTAGGCTGGAGTACAATGGCATGATCTCTGCTCACTGCAAACTCTGCCTCTGAGGTTCAAGCAATTCTCCTGCCTCAGGCTCCTGAGTAGCTAGGAGCCCACCGGCATGCCTGGTTAATTTTTGTATTCTGAGTAGACACAGGATTTCGCCATATTGCCCAGGCTGATCTCGAACTCCTGACCTCAAGTGATCGGTCTGCCTCAACCTCTTGATGTGCTGGTATTATAAGCATGAGCCACCACACCTAGCCTATGCCTGCATTTCATCCCTCCTGTAATCAATGCATATATATATGTATATATATGTTTTATATATATGTATATATATATGTGTGTGTGTGTGTGTATATATATATATATATATATATTTTTTTTTTTTTTTTTTTGGTGAGGAGTGATGGAGTCTTGCTCTGTCACCCAGGCTGGAGTGCACTGATGAGATCTCAGCTCACTGCAATCTCCGCCTTCTGGGTTCAAGTCTCCTGTTTAAGCCTCCTGTTTCAGCCTCCCAAGTAGCTGGGACTACAGGTGTATGCCACCATGTCCAGCTAATTTTTTGTATTTTTAGTAGAGATAGGGTTTCACTGTGTTAGCCAGGATGATCTTGATCTTCTGACTTTGTGATCTGCCTGCCTCAACCTCCCAAAGTTCTGGGATTGCAGCGTGAGCCACTGTACCTGGCCTCAATGCATAATTTTTTTATACAATTAAAGTGCATAACCCTGACATCCTACTCATCCTAATGAAAATTTATAGAATTGTTTCTATTGCACCAAAGTGCAAGCAAAACAAAGCAAAAGCAGAAAAGTCTTCTGTGTTATGAAGATGAAAATGTCAGCATCAAAAAATCCTTGAAATTCCATGTAAAAGCATCTAACATCATTATTACAGAGGTCCTTTCCCTCTGAGACTTTATCTTCAGATGGGACTATCAGACCGTCTTTTCCGGGATGTGCTGCATTTCCACGTTGCATTATATGGGATGCTGCAAAAGGGCAGTCGGATTCGGTGCTGAGGAAGCCATCCACTTGCAAGCCACTGCCACAGTGTCTGCGGATCCAAATAAGAAACAGATATGAGACTCTCATTTGGTGGCAGATAGAAAGTCTGAACACCACAGGGACACGATATACAGCAGCATGTGGGCTGGGTCCTAGAAATGTAATCTCTCCGACGTACCTTATTGGTTCACCCTATTTTATGCGAGATGAAGTATTAGAGCAGAAAACTGGGCACAGCTGAGGTCAGATATGTGAGATGGGGCAGCCACCAAGGCAAACACAGATAGGGACCAATGTAGTCAGAAGACGAGGTAGCCAAAAAGCAGACAGAGTCTGTGCAAAGGTGTGAGTCGAATGACAAGCTCAGATTGGGGTGTGCAGGCATTGCCGAGGACACAAAGCAAGGGAGCCCAGAAAGCGTGTGTGGCAGCCTGTGTTAATCAGGGTTCTTCCCAACCTGTGGGAGATACATCTGTATCTTTATGTCTGTGTGTATCTATGTCTGTATAACATAGCTGTATCATCTACATCTGATATCTCTATCATATGTATATCATTATATATGTAAAACCGGTCAATATCGACATCCATATCGTTGATATTTATATCTCATCTATTATCTGTATCTGATCATCTGTAGCTATAGAGATATTTTTTATTAGGAATTGGCTCACACACAATTATGGGGGTGTTTCTAGAACCAATTTCTGCTGCTGTTGAAATGAGCTGGCAAGTCCATTTCTGCAGGGTGGGCTGGGAGCTGGTGACCCAGAAGAGCGGACGGTACAGTTAGAATCTGCTGGAGAATTCCTTCTTGCTTGGGGATGGCCAGTCATTTGGTTCGATTAGGTCTGCAAATGATTGGATGAGGCCCACCCACATTATGGAGGGCAATCTGCTTTACTCAAAGTCCACCAATTTAAATGTTAATCTCATTCAAAAGCAACCTCACAGAAACACCCAGAATAATTTTTGACCAACTATTTGGGCACTGTGGCCCAGCCAAATTGACATGGAAAATTAACTATCACACAGGTCCAGATAATGCACTTTTTTTTAATTATACTTTAAGTTCTGGGGTACATGTGCAGATCATGAAGGATTGTTACATAGGTATACACATGCCATGGTGGTTTGCTGCATCCATCGCCACATCATCTACATTAGGTATTTCTCCTAATGTTATCCCTCCCCAATAATACCCCCACCCCCTGCTATCCCTCCCCTAGCCCACCCACCCCCTAACAGGCCCTGGTGTGTGATGTTCCCCTCCCTGTGTCCACGTGTTCTAATTGTTCAATGTCCACTTATGACTGAGAACATGTGGTGTTTGGTTTTCTGTTCTTGTGTCAGTTTTCTGAAAATGATAGTTTCCAGTTTCATCCATGTCCCTGCAAAGGACATGAACTCATCCTTTTTTATGGCTTCATAGTATTCCATTGTGCATATGTGCCACATTTTCTTTATCCAGTTTATCATTGGTGGGCATTTGGGTTGGTTCCAAGTCTTTGCTATTGTAGCATATCCTCTGCCCACTCTTTTATTGTCAAGTGCTGCAATAAACATACATGTGCATATGTCTTCATAATGGAATAATTTATAATCCTTTGGGTATATGCCCAGTAATGGGATTGCTGGGTCAAATGGTATTTCTAGTTCTAGATCCTTGAGGAATTGCCACACTGTCTTCCACAATGGTTGAACTAATTTATACTTCCACCAACAGTATAAAAGTGTTCCTATTTCTCCACACCCTCTCCAGTATCTGTTGTCTCCAGATTTTTTTAATGATTACCATTCTAACTGTCGAGAGATGGTATCTCAATGTGATTTTGATTTGCATTTCTCTAATGATTGGTGATGCTGAGCATTTTTTCAAATGTTTGTTGACTGCATAAATGTCTTCTTTTGACAAGTGTCTGTTCATATCCTCTGCCCACTTTTTTATGGGGTTGTTTGTTTCTTTTCTTGTAAATGTGTTTAAGTTCTTTGTAGATTCTGGATATTAGCCCTTTGTCAGATGGGTAGATTGCAAAAATTTTTCCCATTTTGTTGGTTGTCGGTTCACTCTAATGATAGTTTCTTTTGCTGTGCAGAAGCTCTTAAGTTTAATTAGATCCAGTTTGTTTATTTTGGCTTTTGTTTTCATTGCTTTTGATGTTTTAGTCATGAAGTCTTTTCCTATGCCTATGTCCTGAATGGTATTGCCTAGGTTTTCTTCTAGGATTTTTATGGTGTTAGGTTTTATGTTTAAATCTTTAACCCTTTTGAAAGATGAAGTCTAGCTGGGCCTAGTGGATTACAGGTGTAGGCCTCTCCTTCTGGAGGCCGAGGTGGGCGGATCATGAGGTCAAGAGATCAAGACCATCCTGGCCAACACAGTGAAACCCCATCTCTATTAAAAATATAAAAATTAGCTGGGCATGGTGGTACACATCTATAGTCCCAGCTACTCAGGGAGCTGAAGCAAGAGAATTGCTTGAACCCAGGAGGCGGAGGTTGCAGTCAGCCAAGACTGTGCCACTGCACTGCAGCCTGGCAACAGAGAGAGAGAGAGTCCATCTCAAAAAAGAAGGGAGAGGAGCGGGGGCAGATGGAGTCCTATGCCCATGGCTATATTTTACTTGACTTTTAAGTTAGAGCAAAGAGAGTTACCTTCCACCAAGAACATACACGAACTGTGTGCTGTATATTGCATTAGAAATACAAATGGTCGGAGACATCAGACAAAGAGAGCCACTCTTCTGTAACAACGGGGAGGTGAAGCCCCTTTTCAGACTGGCTATGCTGAAATCCTAGCATGGCTCCAGTTCGGGTGGGCAACAGGGATCCTGCTGACCTGTTTGCTGAAGGGGAGAATCTGGGAGAAAGATTCTCTTATCCTTGTGTCCGCATATTGCGCTTTTGCAAGGCAAACTATTAGAAAAAAGTTCTAAGAAAAGTTAAACATGTAATGATCGATATTGAGAATGAAAATTTTGATGGTGGGAAGCCACCTAACATGATTATGACCTCGACCTGGGGAACTCTGAGGCCATTTGCATATCAGCAGTGTGTGTACTTCCTGCAGCATCTGCGTCTCCCCCAAGCTGGGCCACCTCCTGTGGACGGGACGGGACGTCTCCAGCACCACAGGAGAAAGAACAAAGAGTTAAGGCCTCACTTGCTCTCTGCCTCTCAGGCTGATCCAAATGCACAGCTACCGCTTACATCAAAGGAAACTTGGCTTTCGGGGATGTGGAGGAAGATCAGACTCTGGCACTTAGCTTTTCCCTTTTATTTTAGCAGGATCGCCAGTGCTACAGCCCCCTGGGGATGGACTCATTTCAACAGCAGCAGAAGCTCGCCTCTAGAAGAACTCCCATTTGCACAGGACAGAGATGAGTGGAAATGAACATATGACACTGATAGGCATCTCCCGGTATGTTTTCATAATCATTTAATTTTCCAACTGTAAAAGAAATCATGTTCTTACTCAAGAGAAAAATGGAAGAAACAGAAGAGAATAGAGGGGAAAATACCCAATATTAAGTATTCTTTATGTGCCAGGCACTGTGCTTGAAATAACTACTAATGAGATCTATGCAAAGGATCCTAAACGAAGGGCTCCATCTCTCCTCTCCCCTCTTCCCCTCCCCTCCCCTCCCCTTCCCCTCCCCTCTCCTTTTCTGTATTCTCTATAGATCCGTACATGTGAATCTTGTGAGTCTTCATAGAACATTCTCCCTGTCTCTCTTTTTCACATATACATAATTTAACAGTTTGTCTGTATACACACATATATTGATAATTCAAAGTTGAAGAATTGTTTGCATGGCTCAGCATATGGATTTCTCATTTAAAAGTGACTTGTAAGCACTTTCCCATGCCATTCATGGCCAGGTGTGGTCGCTCAAGCCTGTAATCCCAGGACTTTAGGAGGCCAAGGCGGGTGGATCATGAGGTCAGGAGTTTGAGACCAGCCTGACGAACATGGTGAAACCTGTCTCTATTAAAAAGACAAAAATTAGCTGGGCATGGTGGTGCGTGCCCATAATCCCAGCTACTCAGGAGGCTGAGGCAAGAGAATTGCTTGAATCTGGGAGGCGGAGGTTGCAGAGAGCCAAGACGGCACCACTGCACTCTAGCCTGGGCAACAGAGCGAGACTCCATCTCAAAAAAAAAAAAAAAGGAGTCCTATTATTTATTTAATTCTTCTCATCTTACTGTTGAATAATAGGTTAATTTTAATTTTTTTGCTATTATAAAAATGCCATTATGGTCATTCTGGCATTTGCATCTCTGCTTATTTTCTTGAGGCACATTCTTAGAAATTTGATAGACTAGGTCAAAGAATATGAGTTTTCTCAACAGTTTTGTGGCCAGTTGCTACATTGCTTCTCCAAAAGTGTCCACCAAGTTAGAGCCCCTCTAGCAAAACATGACACAGTTAATTTCCTGCTCATGTATCAATATTGAGTGTTATTTTTAAAACTGCCTATAGAATAGACAAATGAAGAGAATGAGATCAGGTGGTTGGACGCCACAGAGACAGACACCTCTGCTCTTGGATGCTGACTGTGGCTCTGATGTCAGAGTGCTGCAGTTGGTACCTGTTTGAGCTTCTGGTGCCTCGCTTGGTCATGTGAAAAATTAGGGATGACTACTCACCACTTAGAACTTTGAGGGCATCCAGTGGTTGATGTGTGACAAGGTCTTAGAACTGAGTCTGGACCCTCACAAACACTCAGTAAAAGTGAGTTTCTTTGGTAGCAGTCAGGCATGTACTTCTAGGGGCAGGTTTCCAAATGGACTGTGCTGTGTTGGTCACGAAGTTCTTCTGAAGAGTATATGTTTGATGTAGTATTTCTGGAGTGTAAATGTTTTTGCAATTTCTCCTCCTCCTCCTCCTTCTTCTTCTTTTTTTTTTCTTTTTTGAGATGGAGTCTTGCTCTGTCACCAGGCTGGAGTGCAGTGGCGCGATCTCGGCTCACTGCAACCTCTGCCTTTCTGGTTCAAACTATTCTCCTGCCTCAGCCTCCTGAATAGTGGGGAATACAGGCACATGCCACCATATCCAGATAATTTTTGTGTTTTTTAGTAGACATGGGGTTTCACCATGTTGGCCAGGATGGTCTCGATCTCTTGACCTCATGATCTGCCCACCTCAGGCTTCCAAAGTGCTAGGATTATAGGCATGAGCCAGTGCGCCTGGCCCTTGGTTTTGCAATTTCTATTTATCATCTTGAATAAGCCCACCCTTCCTTCCTTTTTCCCTCCCTCCCTCCCTCCTTCCTTTCTTCTTTCTTTTACAGGTAGGTAGGAATTAGTGGGGCACGAGAGGGCTCTCCCCCAACCCACTAGGAATATCAGGTGATGATTTCACAGTGATCACACTGCCTCTCTAAAAATGATAATTTGGCAGCCCACACAGAGCACCAGGGAGAGGCCATTTCCTGGTGATCCACAGCTGTAACATTAAAGTGTTAATTGAATGCAGATATCAGGGAGAAGAAACTTCCTAGTTATGAGCAGTAAGAGATAAAATGGAGCACTATGACCTTCCGTGTACGCTCCACTGGGAAAAGGGAAGAAAGCCTCAGATAGGCATACGCACAACTTTCTAAACACACTGAGCAAACTCAGTTCTCAAGGATAAGGAGGGCCTGCCACCCTACGGGGAGAATCTTGGAAAAGAGGGTAGCCTGTAAAGTCCCAGGATAAAGGTGAAAGACTCTTATTCCGCTTTCTCTTTGACCTTCTGGAGCCTTCTTGGATCTCTTCCAACAGTTCTTTCCTTTTTCCAATTTTATTTTATTTATTTTATTATTTATTTATTTATTGGAGGTTTCAGTGCGACGGGAGAATCACAAGGAATCAGGTGTTCAGAGGAATGTATTGAGTAGAGGTGAGGAACTAGGATGTTGAAAAGTGAAAAAAAGGAGAGAAGGAGAGGAAGAAAGAGGAAGAAAAAAAGGGAGAGATACCTTGTATCTTAATTATGTGAAGGAGAGGAAGAAAGAGGAAGAAAAAGAGGGAGAGATACCTTGTATCTTAATTATGTATCTAATTATGTATCTTAATACCCAGATACATAAGACCCATAACGAGATTTAAACTCAATGAAACAGAAAATTAATAAGGATATCCAGGACTTCAACTCAGATCCGGAACAAGTAAACTCAAAAAATATTTATAGAGTTCTCCATTTTAAATACACAAAATATTGATTGGCCATTATTAATACCCATTTTTAGAATGAAGCAATATTCCTGTTCTCTCTCCCTTTTTCCAATTTTAAAGCTAATTTTTTCTTTTTTGAGACACAATTTTACTCTGCTACCCAAGCTGGAGTGCAATGGCATGATCTTGGCTCACTGCAACCGCTGTCTCCTGGGTTCAAATGGTTCTCCAGCCTCAGCCTCCCAAGTTGCTGGAATTATAGGCATGTGCCACGATGCCCAGCTAAATTTTGTATTTTTAGTAGAGACGGGGTTTCGCCATGTTGGCCAGGCTGGTCTTGAGCTCTTGACCTCAAGTGATCCACCCACCTCTGCCTCCCAAAGTGCTGGGATTACAGGCCTGAGCCACCATGCCTGGCCCTCTGGTGCACATTTCTTAGATGTGCTCTGTGTCCGTCTTTTCTGTTTCCATCTTTATTTTGTGCTCCATAAAATCCTCTTTTCTTTGATTTAAATAACCATCAATTTTTTTTTTTTTGAGGCGGAGTCTGGCACCGTTCCCAGGCTGGAGTGTAATGGCAGGATCTCAGCTCCCTGCAACGTCTGTTCCCTGGGTTCAAGTGATTCTCCTGCCTCAGCCTCCCAAATCCTACCATTCTTTAAAGCCCAGGTCAAAGTCCACTTCCTTCTGTAACTCACCCTGGACTTTTCCAGCTAGAATTCCAGGTCCTCTAGTTATTGGGCGTGTGCTTTGTGGTGAGCAGTGACATTACTTTTCTTGAATGTTTAAACTCTTATTTTTCACGTCCTGGCTGGCACTGAGCAAGGTCTCCCTGCACTGTGGTTCTTTATGTTCATAACTATTTTCTCCTGTGAAACACAAAGTTCTTTGCAGCCGGTGTCCAGGACTTGTCTGTTTTTGCCTCTCTTGTGAACCACTGCTCCTGGTCCCCGAAGAAACTGAGGCTTATGGAGATGACGTAACCTGTTTAGCTTGTAGACGGCCTTCAGGCTTCGGCTAGACAGAAACGTGGGGATCAAAAGCACTCATTGCTCTTGAGAGGAACCTACAGCAAGGAGGCACCTTTAGAGCCAGTGCCAGGGCATAAAGCATTTTCCATTTTCCTTAAACTCCTAGTCTAGAAAATGAAAGTACTTTTCTACTTTCCACCATTGTGATAAAAATGTATTAAAATAAGGTATTAAAAGAAGCTTAATAACGACATGAAAAATGAATGCCAACTGAATTCCCACAGTGTCCCTCCTGGGCATTTTTCAGATTACTTATAGAGGCTGGAAGGCCTCTTACAGCATCTGAGTTCCTAGCTGGCACCTGTAACTCCCTGACCCAGGCAGATATCACTAACGCTGGTGCATTGCTGCTGTGAGGATTGGTACCATTTGGTCTGACCGGGCTCTCCAGTACGCGGCTGGCAGGCTTCTCCGCACCTGTTACTTGCAGACAAGAAGCAGCTGAGCTGTGAGGCACGTGGGGTTGTGGAACCAGGGGAGGGAGAGAGAGCCACATGTGGGAACTGGCAAATAGGAGGTGTTCTGGAAGATTGGTGGAAAAAGGGTTACACAAACCCATGGCTGGACTTGGATGTATTCTTTGCACACATCATCTATTTGAGTACATTCAATTCACATATGGATCCTTGGACGGGACGACACTGGTGCTCTCCCCTGACCACAGGGGTGGATTTCTTGTGTGTGCGTGTCATTGGGTGTGAGTTTTGCTCCAGCGGCAGCATTATTCCTGTGGGCTCTGGGCATTGGCTTTGTCTGTGTGTGCAGAGATGTGGAAGGGACCCTGGCTGAGTCTTATCCAATACCAGACAGGTGGGTGAGTAGGAAACCCGCAGTGAGTGAGTACAAATCCCAGCATCTCCGCCTTGGCTTCAGACAGTTCTGAGGCGTTCTTACTCCTGTGGACCCAGGCTCAAGTTGCCCTCCGAGGACTCTGCTGAGATCGCACCTGTGCTGGGTGGTGGCCTCTGTGTCTTGCTCCCTTGCCTGCCAATTGCTTTCTTCCAGTAGTGCGTCCCTATCTCAGGCTCTACTTATGGGAACCTCAACCTAAGACAGATCTAGTACTAATAAATACATAGTGGAATCTTCCCCGAAAGGGATTATGCAGCCATTAAAAGTGATGATTTAAAGGCTGGGTGTGGTGGCTCACACCTGTGATCCTAGCACTTCGGGAGGCCAAGGCGAGAGGATCACCTGAAGCCAGGAGTTTGAGACTAGCCTGATCAAT